TAGTAGTAGGGTTAAGTGTACATAAAAATATCTACAGGTCCAACAAAACTCGACCTCACTGCCAGTGCCTTCGAGCTCGTGTCAATATAAACAAGGAGGTCACAATCCACTGGTCATTTGTTTCTAGGAGCAATATTCAAATGAATTTAAAAAAAAATTTCGTGTGCTTTTTCATACACTATCACAATCAGCTATTAATACTTGCATCTTGGTAGCTAACGTTCGCCCACGTTTGTTACGGATTGCGCATGTCAACGGTTTGTGCAAGTCAACAGAACGAACGTTGATATTATTTTTGAAAACTGGAGCCAAAGGGGAAAAAATTAAAACTAAAGATTACTGCGATGACCACAGACATCTGAATACATCTTAGTAGTAGCGTGCTTTCTGAGTAAGTGTGATGATCACAGTTAACACCTCGTTATTGGCTTCTGTTTGCAGTAAAGTGACTGGATGAAAGGGCGCAAGTTTCACAGACCAATTGGAGAGCATAGTGAGATAAAAACCGGCGACAAATCGACCGTGAATCACATGCAAAAAAAAAAACAATAAAAATAATTCGGATCAAGGTCAGTACCTACGCAACTGCGCACCTACCCTTCCCTTAGCCAAAAAACAACACTAACTTGTTATTAGTTGACCGTTCTTGGGTCAGGGGAAAGGGTAAGTGCTCAGATATTGATTCAATAATTATTCCCTGTTGAGCGACGTCCCACACATCTTTGTTATCGGAGCTAAACAGCGTTCTGGCTGACTGAAGAAGGACCTGTGGATCATATCAAATAATAACTTAAGTTGTTGTGCTTGAGAGAGGTTGAAATTGTAAGCGCAAGGGATTCCGGATCGAAAAGTCGGTTTTGATCCGTAAACTACTCTCTTGGTTGCGTTTTCTGGCAAAACTTTCTTTAACCCTTTACACCCTAACATCAGTATGCATATTCTCCATACTGTTCTCTTTACAATTCCTAAGGTGCCGACAAGGAGAATTGCTTCAACGATCCTGAGCTTCTGTTGTTGTTAATCATTTCCATTATTCTCATGACCTTATTTTGTCATTCAGGGCTGATATTGTAAGGAAAAAGTAAATGCTAGTCACTCTTCAGGGTGAAAAAATTGACCAATGAACTTCATTTGCACATTCGCAGCTGCATATTTAAATTAAAAGAGGATTTTCCCGTCCTAAAAGTTTGTACGTTGTCATGTCATCATTTCGAAACAGCTCTCTTAGTCACAATTTCACTTCTTGACCGTGGGTTTCTTGTGACTTGGCAAGAAATAGGAAATTTAGACACCATAAAACTATTATCTCTGCCACCAAAACTTTTTACACAGATAAGGCAGTGAACGCGTTTCCCGATTCAACAGGTCTTCCTCACGCGAGGAGGTCTGCCTTTGAAAGTGGCAAAAGTTCAGGCAATGTTTGTACAGTTAACCCTATGCACCCTACGATCAGTATGCATAATATCTATACTGTTCTCTTTACCTTTCCAAAGGTCCAGACAAGGAGAATTTGTTAAACTGTCTAGAGCTTCCTTAACTGGTGATCATTTCCTTCATTCTCGTGACCGTAATATTTGATGCAGGGATGATATCGTGGGGAGAAATTAGATGCTAGTCATTCTTAGGAGTCAAAGAGTTAAGAGCTAGGCATGACGGGATCGTTGCTTGAGGTGCAAGCGTTTCGATTCCCGCCAAATGAGCTGAAGTCGGCGGCGGCCACTATGTCGAATATTCTGCTCATTTTAAGACAACTACCGAAAGAATACAATCCTCTTGGATGCTCAAACTGCGGTAAGTACTATATCTTTACTTTAAAATGACTGAGATGGAAATTATGCGGTTTCTGCAATAAATTTCTATAACTTTCGCACCTTCGCAAACTCCTTGGTCTTGGCTGAAACAAGCGTGCTGGAGTTTTGTTGACTCTCGTATCCAAACAGAGTGGTGATAATCGTCAGTGCGATTTCTATATCTCTGGCGTACAGTTGAGGGGATAACGTGATGGCAAGATCTAACTGCTGTCCTATATATATACCAAGGGCGAAATCTGGCTTCCAGTCGACGTTTCCAGACGTCAAATTTTTTAACTACAAAAGACACAAGGGTAATTTAATATTGTCAACTGAGCTGATAACGTAAATTAATAACAAGATATCGACAAAGCATGACTCAGCAGAACGAAAGAAAAGCATTAATCACAAACTTTCTCTTCAGTGATCTCAAATTGCGGTTGAATCCGCGAACTTGGGAGTTAAAACTACACAAGTTGTGCAGAACATTAAACATTACTGCAGGCTTGTGCTGCTATGTTACTCTCACCTGAATCATCACCCACACTCGTGTTTAAAGCACAGACTCCAAATCTAGCTTCTCACGTGAAAACCTAGCTTTCGAGCACGCCTTCATGATCAGCGCTGAAGGACGCGCGTTTTTCCACTGGCGGGAAAATTTGAGACGCCTCGGGAAGAGATTTGCCGGAAGTCTGGCGCTAATAATGTTATTTTCAGCGTAAAACTCGTTCCACACCTCTCTCCTACTTGCGTCGCTTACGGCCTCATACTTTCCCGCGGGTGAAGAAACGCAATACTAATGAGGAACTGCTCAAAAGTTCGTGAATATCACGAATTTGGTTTTATTCACTGACTTAACAGTGGTAAATGCCTTGTTTAGTAACACATCAAGAAGCGCTCGAAGGATTTCGTTCACGTACTTGAGTTTACAATACAATACAATACAATATTCTTTATTTAACGAAGTTGACGAAATTAACCCAATGATTTATCTAACTTACGGCCTTCAAATAAGTACAAATACACATATAAAATAATGACTAATCGGCAAAACGACTGACTACGAGAAAAACTAAAACTAGAAATTGTATGGTTTAACCTAGATATAACATGATATATACAATTACCTTCTTATACAACATTTCATCAACAAGTTTAAAAAAATGTCGGCACGGCTTAAGAGAACATACGCGCACGCAGTGTTTACCAACGTAACCTACGGGACATATGAATTTGTAGGAGTCGAATTCCTCTTAGCATGTGCTTTAGTCTGGACAAGGGTTCGATGAGCAGTAGCTTCCCATTTTCTCTTCACAACCAGATGCTGTTCTGTGATTGACTCCAGAGTTCATGTTGATCACGGTACTACCGGCAAAACCCCAACGGATATGGAGAGAGAGAGGTTAGTGTTTCCTCGTATAAACGGGTAACCGAGTTGGACCATTTCCGAGAGGCCCAAAGCCTCTGTTTTAAGCTCGTGCAATTTTGTGGTACTAAAAAGTTCAAGTTCAATCGAGCGTATAAACACCACATTTTTTCCTCCAAGCTTCGGAAAATCAATCAGTGCATTGCTGCTAATCTAATACCTGGAGCAGGCTACAGAAACATAAACCTAACAGTTTAACTAGAGGAATTTGTTAGAAAAGCATACCTTGTATACAGCCTCCAAATCCACTGTACACTGCAGACTTGGTAGAATTCTTCCTCGCTCCCATGAAAAACTGTCTGACAACTCCAAGGTCTTTTCCCCTGTATGCATCTGCAGAAACTTTGTAGATGTAGTCCATTGTTATTTTAAGGGAAGAATCTGTCCAGAGGATCTCAATGTGATGCCACTGGGTATCATTCACCTCTATGTGAGGCAATTGGGAACAAACAGCCCTCTGTAGTTGTATTACAGTTAACCATCAACCAACTGAAATAGCAACGAAGTTCACGTAAGTATAAGAACATTCAATGACTTTTACACCATGACATGTACCTTGATTTACATAACTTACCTCCAACACCGAAGATGATGACGAAAAAGAGGTTTCAATCAGAGTTCCTGAAGGCTTGGCTGTGCGGAATCTCATTGAAACACTCCACGGAAGATTGACCTTTGAGTTGGCCGGCACCCCCTTAAAACTCTGTCCTGAGAATCTCTCAGTGTATTTCACACCTGTTGAACAAGGAACCCAGGTGGAAATCTTATTAAGATCTTACTAAGATTCTTGTAAGTTTCTTACTAAGATTCTTATTAAGATTCTTAATTAAGAATCTTGTAAGACCTTACAAATGTGACAAATGTGACAAATGAATTGTGACAAGATCTTACCTGATCTTGTAAGATCTTACAAGATTCTTGTAAGAATCTTGTGACAAGATCTTACCTGATCTTGTAAGATCTTACAAGATTCTTGTAAGAATCTTGTGACAAGATCTTACCAGATCTTGTAAGATCTTACAAGATTCTTGCAAGAATCTTGTGACAAGATCTTACCATATTCTTTAAGATTCTTAACTAAGAATCTTGATAAGTATCTTAGTAAGAAACTTACAAGAATCTTACAAGATCTGGTAGGATTCCTGTGACAAGAATCTTAATTAGGTACCTTCACAAGTTTTCAAAAGAACTTGTTAAGATTCTCAACAATGTCTTAATGATCTCTAAAAGAACTTACAAGAACTTGTGAGATTTTCAAACAACTTACAAGAATTTTTGCAGAATCTGTAAAAATTCTTAAGTATCATATTTTTTTCAGAGCATAGTAGGTAACTGATGGTTTATGCAATATGCAGTAACTGGATGATTGAGGAATGGAGATCACCACTAAGAAAGAATTTCTTCATCCAACATTAAGCAAAATTTATTGCAAATTCTCAACACTGTGAAATTAATTACTAAAAAAGATCTTGATAAGAAACGTTAACTGGTAAACATGCACGATTTAAATGACAACTGTACAAGAAGAGTTCTTGTTCTTCCCCTCGGTGTGTTTTAAAAATTTAAAAAAACAATTGTTTTAATTGTTGGAGTCATTTGACAGTTTGATTTGAACTACCATAGTTATCCTTGCACAAAAAAGCCATAATAACTTAAGGCATGTCCCAGTTTTAAATTGTTCTTCGTTTGATTCAAACTGCAATGGTTTTTCTTCTTTTAGAATAATTTAAGCATGAAAACAAAAAAACAACAAAATTTTGTATATTTGCAGCAAACGTGTTCAAAGAATTAAAGCTCACTATCACTCATCTCAGTTGGCATTTTAGTCAATTTGACAGCTACTTGACAAGCAAATTTGCAAATATTTCAATTTTGTACAAATATCAACCAAGCCTTAGTTCATTCAACATTGCCCTCTACATTGTGAACTTTTCTCTTGGAATCCAAGCAATTTTTTTTATTCGAGTAGAGCCTTATTTGAGACCACCTCTTATTCATTTGGGCATCACCAAATTTCTGTTTTATGGCTCCTGTGGGAAGAAAAAAAGAAAAAAAGGAAAATAGTAATTTGTATACAGGTACAAAATATACTAAAACCTTGAGAGCGTATTTTTTAAAATCCCTGCCAGAGAGGAGTAATAGGAGCTTGGTTTCATTTTGAGGAGTACTTACTAAGGTAGAGGGGAGGAGCTTCTCAATGGTTCTCCTTGATCACCATCATGCCTCATCTGTACGCAAAGAAAAGGAGGTAGTGACTATCTTTAACAAGAATTTATCATCTTGAAGAGCGAAGTTTTTATGCACAGGTTCCCAGTTATGAATCTTGGCAATTTGCACTGCCCAACTCCAATCCAACAAACTTTGTTTACGCTTTGCACTGCTGAAACAGCTATTCCAAATTCCCACAAAAAGTTGATAAATGAAAAATTACCTTTTTACAATCAGGAGTTGCCACCCTTCTATCCCATTCTGTGCTTGTAGCATCAAGATGGGACTCAAAGTCTACTTTATTCAGGATAAAATCATTTTTACAGGTGATCCTATCTCTCCA